TTAGAGTCGATAGAGATAAAATAAAAAACAGTTGACTTACTGGTCAATGATTGTCCAGGTGTCAGGCCAGTAACATCCCGTGTATCATAGACTGTAGGCGGACATTTCCAAGTCTAATCCAACACCACGACTACATAGTCAGAAGAGATAGCCTAGAAGAACGGGAATTAAAAATTGACCTAATCACACCGAACTAGACCGGCACATGTTTTTACCGAGTCCGCTCTTCCGCCCCCTTCCCCCCGTTTAGAGTTACTCGCCCTTGGTGTGACGCGGCGACTACCAACAAGTGCCTCGTCTGAAATCTCACACACAAAACGCGCGGGGACGTCACTTGCTACCGGGGAAGGGGGAATAACTGCGCCATCTTTTGTTATTCAGGGCGTGGAAGGCTGTTTTTCTTTTAAAATTCTCTCCCTTTCCCCTTGCTTGCATAGGCTAGTCGAGGTGACGCGTTGACAATTGAACGGGACAGTTTCATTTCTAACCCCCCTCCCCTTTTTCCCCACTCACACACACTACTAGCCTAGACTTGGTTAACGCTGGCCGGGCAATAAAGACTGACCGGAGCAGACGAGAGACGGCTTGAAGATGGAGGGGGAGATACATCTGGTCTGATAATTAACACCTGGCTAAGCCCTGTGTAGAGGAAGATTAAAGAAGATTGAAGTGGAATCGCACATACGCCTCTAGAGTACTTTTTCTCAACGCCTGGGCCTCTGTGGTTCAGCGTTTTAAACTTGCGCTTGCAGACGCCAAGTCTGATCTGTTTAATTAATATGTTGTATTTTTTTATTAACGAATTGGGTTTCTTTTAGACATTTCTTTGTGGGGAGGAGGGGCACTGTTTTTAAACTTGCGCTTGCAGACGCCAAGTCTGATCTGTTTAATTAATATGTTTAGTATTTTGGTATTAACGAACAGGGTTTCTTTTAGACGTTTCTTTGTGGGGAGGAGGGGCACTTATTTTAAACTTGCTGCTCGCAAACGCCGTCTGATCAGTTTAATAATTTGTTATTAACGAACTGGGTTTCTTTCACACTTTTCTTTGTGGGGAAGTGGGGTTAAAGTATATAATTTCTATATAGTTATATATACATACATATATATATATATATATATATATATATATATATATATATATATATATATATATATATATATATATATATATTCTATTTCCTTCGTGAGCCCCATGGTTCTGGCTCACCCACAAGCATATCCATTTCTACCCTAAACTTAAAACCAACTCTTAATCCTTCGCTGGCCGAAGCCTTTGGATATGTGTTCTAAATCTAGCTAATCAGGCAAAATGTTTGTCTAGTTAACCATGCTATTTATATAATTCATTTCGATTTAGGTCTAAGCGGTATATATATATATATATATATATATATATATATATATATATATATATATATATATATATATATATATATATATATATATATATATATATATATATATATATATAAAGAAGTAAAGAATACTCTTTAGACCTAGCGATCCACTGGGAAGATGAAGTAGAGTTCATGTTTCTTGATCTCGCATATGAAGGGAATGTGTGGTAACTTTGCCCATCCGCCTTTACTTCCCGTAACGTGAGTTAGGTACCCATCATAGCTGGGTGGACTCAGGGACGTTCTACTAACTTGAACCCGGATTGGAACTCGAGACTATCATACTTTAGGCAAGTGTAATTTGATTTGGGAGGGGGAGGGGAGCTGAAAAAATGTGGTGACATTCACAATTGAGCCAATAATATTGTCAGAGCAAAAATGTAAAGGTTGACAGGCAAAACGTAGATGCTGTAAAAATCAAAATTCGGTTAAAGACGCTTTTATTTTATTTATATTTTTTTTAGTTTTGTAAATTGTGATAGTGGGTTATTTTCTCTCAACTGCTTACCCCTACCCCAACAGTGAAAAATAAAAGTTGTGTATCGGTGGTTTAGAATCAGATGGTTCAACCGAGACCGATAAATTTAGAGTTTCTTTTAGACATCTCTCCGGGGGGGGGGGGGGGGGTGTCCCCACCCCAAAACACATCCACCACCCTCTCCCCGTGCTAAGTATATAAAAATAATAATATAGAAAGTAAATAGTTTAACTAGTGTCCGCCCCATTCACCGCAAATTTATGGTGCCCCCCCCCCCCCCTTAAGTTTAAAGTATCTTCCTCCACCTTCCGGTAAAAAAAAGTGTCTGAAAGAAACCTGGATAATTTAACCCGCCAATCAAATAACATAAAAATGTGCGTAAACGTTTTTAATATCTGGCATGTTAAAATACAACACGTGGGGTTGAATATTAGTCGCAAAATTGCAAACCCATTTTGTATAGGCAGGAAACGCTGGTTGGAAAAAGAAAAAAAAAGGAACATGAAATGTATGAAATTAGATGAGTATGATTTGAAGAAGACTAGGATGAATGTAAGCGGCATAATGTATTGTCTCTGTCAGTGTCAGCACTTGGGTAAAACAATGATTGGGTCATGGCTGAACGTTACCGTCCTGTCAGTCAGGGTCGGGGGTGGGTTGGGGGGGGGGGGGGGGTTAAGGCTTGCTGTCAACTCGATGGCACTCTGTCAAAATAAATGGGTCACTGAAAGGTCGGAGCTAACTGCTCGGATAATATTCAAATGTCAGGGAGGTTGCGGTGAACTTAGAGCCAGAGTTGTATGACCAGAGGTGTGGGGGTGGGGGATATCTAGAGGTGTGGGGGATGTCTAGAGGTGTGGGGGTGTATGACCAGAGGTGTGGGGGATGTCTAGAGGTGTGGGGTGTATGACTGGAGGTGTGGGATGGATGTCTGGGGTATGGGGTGGATGACTGGAGGTGTGGGGTGTATGACTGGGGGTGTGGGGTGTATGACTGGAGGTGTGGGGTGTATGACTGGAGGTGGGGGTGTATGACTGGGGGTGTGGGGTGTATGACTGGAGGTGTGGGGTGTATGACTGGAGGTGGGGGTGTATGACCAGAGGTGTGGGGGTGGATGTCTGGAGGTGGGGTGTATGACTGGGGGTGTTGGGGTGGGGATGTCTAGAGGTGTGGGGTGTATGACCAGAGGTGTGGGGGTGTATGTCTAGGGGTGTGGGGTGTATGACCAAAGGTGTGGGGGTGTATGTCTAGGGGTATGGGGTGTATGGCCAGAGGTGTGGGAGTGTATGTCTAGGGGTGTGGGGTGTATGACCAGAGGTGTGGGGGTGTATGTCTAGGGGTGTGGGGTTGTTTGACCAGAAGTGTGAGGGTGGATGTCTGGGGGTGTTGGGGTGGATGACTGGAGGTGTGGGGGTGTATGACTGGAGGTGTGGGATGTATGACTAAAGGTGTGGGGTGTATGACTAAAGGTGTGGGGTGTATGTGTGGGGGTGTATGGCTGGAGGTGTGTGATATATGACTAGAGGTGTGGGTTGTATAGCTGGAGGTGTGGGGGTGGAAGAATTGGGGTGGGGGGTATATGACTGGAGGTGTGGGGTGCATGACTAGAGGTGTTGGGGTGCATGACTAAAATGACTAGAGGTGTGGGTGTGCATGACTAAAGGTGTGGGGTGTATGACTAATGGTGTAGGGGTGTATGTCTCGGGGTGTGGGGATATGTAACTAACGGTTTGGCGGGGTATAATTAACAGTGTGGAGTTTGTATGACTGGGGTGCATCACTAAATGTGTAGGGTTTACGACTAGTGTGGGTTAGGATGTCTAGACGTGTGGGGTGTATGGCTAGAAGTCGGGGATGGGGTGGGGGTGTACGTTGACAGCACTTTAAAGACCTTAGAGCTTACCTTATGTATGACTTATGGAAACATCGCGAGTTTGATACTGATATAATCATTGTGGTACCACCGGTTCATGCAATCTGCTTGACCACATTAATCAAGTGTATGCTTGTACTTATTCCATCCCCCCATCATGTTACACTAGGCCTACTCCTGACGTTGCTGGTTAGAGGGCCTAGGCCTATAAGCCTACTATTTGGATACATGCAACCACGCGATAAAAATTTCACTTGTTCAGAAAGTTGCCCCCCCCCTCTCCCTCCCCCAATACGTGTTACGTTTCCACCCACCATTTGTACAGGTGGTGAGGCCAAACAAAACAAGAGCTTTGATCTCCTGCTTTTATTTTATACCCCTGCTCTGTAAATGTGCTGAAACTTTAGCCGGTCTACTTCCATTATACAAAGATTCCTTGGAATAACACCTCTCCCCTCACTCACACGTACACACCCGCGGCAAACATTCTCATCAACTTCCTGTGAACGTAATATTAGCTACATCTTAATTTGTCTTTGTTACGTTTTACATTATGTCATTTTATTTTTATTACCTTTTTTTCGATTTGTCTATGTTGGGTTTTCTATTGGTCAGTCTGTCATTATATTTTACATGTCAGGCTTCTTTGTTAGGTTTAACATCTAAGTCAATTAGTCTTTGTTAAGTTTGATATCTAAGTAATTCTGCATCGGTTGGGTTTGACATCTAAGTCAACTTGTCTTTGTTAGGTTGACATCTAAATCAACTTGTCTTTGTTAGGTCTGACATAAGTCAACTTCTTTTTGTTAGATTGACATCTAAGTCAACTTGTCTTTGTTAAGCTTTAAGGGTAGAAAATGGGAAAACATAACTAGTCAATTGGTTAAAGCAAAGGTACCCTTTCAAACGAGACAGTCCATGGGCAGATGTAGTAGAGTTCACCTGTTTCTGTGACCTCTGCATTTAAAAAGACAGTATGATCAGCAATATGCTCCCCCCCCCTTTACTTTTCTTGAGTCACATACCAGTCAGAGTTGGGTGAACAATAAGGGACTTCTGACATCAACCTGGGATTCCAACTCAAGACTTTTGGGTTTGCAGTCATATACTCTACCTTCCAACAATGCTGTTTCTTAGATGGATATTGTCTTGTTAATTGGCTTTTGATAACTGATCAGCTGATGAAAATGTGGCTATTTGTCTATTGTCACCCTGATTTATTTACAAACCATTTGCTCTCACCTTCCAGGGCATGAAGAGGTTTGATGCCAGGAAAGCTGTGCTGGAAGCTCTCAAAGAGAAAGGTCTGTACAGAGGAACAAAAGATAACCCTATGGTTGTTCCAACTTGTAGGTGAGTTGAGGAGTTATTTCCCTTTAAATATTTCAACTTGTAGGTGAGTTTATTATATTTATAAGTTATTTCCCTTTATTTACACCGCCCCCCCCCCCACCTCCCTTTGGTAGGTTTGGAAGTTATTTCCCTTCATATTCTACTTTTTTTCTGGTATTTCTTTTTTTTTAATATTTAGGATTAGTATTTTGTTTTCTGTTTTGATTCTTTCTGTTATTATTTTGCGTATCTATTAAAAAAAATGTATTCTCTGAGATATTATGTTATTGAAAAAAGGGTATTTACTCTTTTTATTTTGTAGTATGCCTGTTTTTCAAAATATGGTGTTTATTTTTCTCTGGTTGTAATATATTTCTCTAACATTTGTATTGACAGCCGCTCCAAAGATGTGATTGAGCCACTGCTGAAGCCCCAGTGGTACGTGGATGTCAAGGTCATGTCTGACCGGGCAGTCAAGGCTGTCAGGGAAGGGGAGCTGAGAATCATTCCAGAAATGTTCCAGAAAACATGGTACTCCTGGCTGGAGAACACCAGGTAAGGGATCACACCTGCCTGACTGGCTGACTAAATAACATCTCACCTGACTGACTAAATAACATCACACCTGACTGACTAAAAATAACATCACACCTGACTGACTAAATAACATCACACCTGACTGAATGACTAAATAACATCACACCTGACTGACTAAATAACATCTCACCTGACTGACTAAATAACATCACACCTGACTAAATAACATCAAACCTGACTGACTAAATAACATCTCACCTGACTGACTGACTAAATAACATCACACCTGAATGACTTAATAACATCACACCTGACTGACTAAGTAACATCATACCTGACTGACTGACAAAATAACATCTCACCTGACTGACTGACTAAATAAAATCACACCTGAATGACTCAATAACTGCTTTGACTCCTGTCTTTATAACTGCCTAGAAAGCACCATCTAGTAACTCACACATGACTTTAATTATCTATGACTTTGTCAGTGTTTGGGCTATTGTTTCCTTGTGTCTGCCATGGCTTATGATAGCTGTAGTTTGTAGATTGATAGACACAAGAACCTGTTTTCTATTTCCCTTTTGTAGCACCAAGGGAGACAAATGTGTTATAAACAATTTTTATTGTAATCAGCCTTTGTTAATTTTTTTAACAATTGTTGATGTGATGTTTTACTGTAGAGTAACTCTGCCTGGCCCGACTATGCGCCTCGAAACAAACAACTCCGTAACTCTCACTTTGAATACTAATTGCACTGTTAATTGAATATTTTATACAGAAACATTATAATTGGTAGCAAATATGTCCATTTATAAGTCCATTTATATCAAACTTTGATCCATTGAATTACCCACAGTGGGATATGAGCAATTAAAAGCAACTCGTCATGTAGGCGGCCATTTTTATGTTGCCGGGACAAGCAAAGCCTCCTCCCGACTTAGTGTCTTTTTAAAACAATGTTTATTTTTTTTTCAGAAAAAATGAACTGAAATTGAATGGGATAGGCTACAGAACATATATGTTTATAGAAAATGCTATTTTCTTTACTAAATACATTTTTTTGGGGGTAGTCGTAAGGAGGATGAAAATTTACGTGGTTTGCCTGGAAACGATACGCATAGTAAACCATAACACAAGCATTTTATTGGGAAGAGTTATCTCCCCTATTATTTTTTTTCCATTGTTATAAATTATATTATTTTTGGCATTTAAAATCAAATACACACTGAAACACAAAACTAAACACATAAAATATTAATAGTACAAGATTATTTATTCAACTGAGCTGAAAAAAACAGCAAAATATGACTTAGTCGGATGGAGGAAAAACCAGTCGTTTGGAGGCAAAACCGGGAAAATTTTAGTCGGTTCCAGGACGACTTGGTCGTCTGTTTCGGGGGCATATATTTAAAAGTTATATTGCGAATGGAAAAAAAGGGAATACATATTTTTATTCTTCTTTGGATGGAGAGTATTTCTATGCTTTGGTTTTCATTCTATGTCAAATAGTAGCGAAATTAGGTGTCTCGAACCGGAAAGGAGTCTCCGTTTCGGGCTAAGGGTGTCCGGGGCTGGTAATGTTACTCTAGTTTGATGGTGTTAATGTGATGTTTTCTTGTGACAGAGACTGGTGCATATCACGCCAGCTGTGGTGGGGACACCAAATCCCAGCTTACTTTGTGTCTGTGGAGGGACAACAACAGGGGCAGGTAAGTCATGGATCAACATCTGGTCATTTCTATAAGAAAAGATATTGTTTAACTTAACCATCAGGTTAATAATATCATCATCAAAATCAATTTGCATTTGGCTTGTTTCTTATTTTTAAAAATCAAATTAGTGTTAAATTATTATTTTATGTTTAAAATATTAAAAACACTGGATAACTAAAATATTCTAGTACTGAGATGCTAATGATGTTCAGGTAGTAGATCAGTTGTTAGACTGTAATGTGTGATGGCTACTTTCTCTCTGACAGGACATTGATGACCACTACTGGATCTCTGGCCGCACTGAAGCTGAGGCTAAAGAAAAAGCTGCCAAAAAGTTTGGCGTTGACAGCAGCAAGATCACATTAAGACAAGGTGAGCTTGTAGTCCACACCATGCCAGTTTAGGTTGGCTTGGTGAAGCAACTTTTGCTGGATAATATATTGGTAATAGGGCTTATAAGTCTCAGCTTGTGGTCCACAATATGCCAGTTTAGGTTGGCTTAGTGCAGGGGTCGGCAACCTTTTGAAGCGGAAGAGCCAAAAGTTACAATTTTCAAAATTTCCCTGGTTTTAAAGAGCCACTAACATTTTTTTATTTCAAATATTTAATTTTTTGATTAAGATTATTAGTATTTGTGCAAGGAGCTGGAGAGCCGCATCTTGATATCAAAAAGCAAAAAAGCGCATCTTGATATAAAAAAAGTGGCGTGCGACCCCTGGCTTAGTGAAGCAACTTTTGCTGGATAATATATTGGTAATAGGGCTTATTAGTCTCAGTGGCTTATTCTCTCTAATATAATCAGTATCACTTTACCCAGGGAGAGATAAGAATTTAAGATTTAAATTTATTGTTGTGAACATGATTCCCAGTGATAGCAACAACGAAAAAACGTGGTGTCTAATTGTTTAATTTGACATTTGTCAATACATTTCTTAAAATTTACATTACATTTTGTAATGACAGTTTTGCAAGTGTTTATGGGTGTGTTGTTAAAAAAATACATTATGTAAAAATAAATTTATGTGACTCACGTTTTTGTTACTTCCCTTTGTTTAGATGAAGATGTGCTTGACACTTGGTTCTCTTCTGGATTTTTCCCCATGTCTGTCTTTGGCTGGCCAGAGCAGGTGACTGTTTATGTTGGTTGTCTGTCTATGCTCTTGGGCTACAGGACATTACCGGTCAATTACCCTCCTCCCACCCTCCCCCACCCGGAGCGATTACCTTCCTGTCAATTTAGAAATCTGACTCTAGCTCAACCTAACTCAATCCTAACCTTAAGAAAAAGACCAAAACCTAAGCACTCACCTTAGCCTAAAACTTAACACAAAACCAAAACCAACACTAGTTATTGGTTTAAGCCTAACCCTGACCGTAACACTAACCTTAATCCTAACCCTAAATCTAACCCTAGCCCTAACCTCAACTCTAACCTAAGGGGGGGGGGGGTGTTGTAATTACTAATTACTTGGGGGGGGGGTAATGCCCTGTTCCCATGCTCTTGTATTTCTGTCTGTCACTTAGTCTGTCTATACTCTTAATATTTCTCTACCACAAGTTTAAATTTGAATCTGCTTATACTCTTGCACTCTAATAAACTCATGACAAAACAAGTTAATTAAAAAAGTCTAGTGACATTTATGCGCAATTTCCTTATGTTATCTAAAAATAGCTCTGACGTATAATGCTGGGGTGCGTTCAAGCTAGAAGAACGATCGGTTTGTAGGTTTTTATGTAATTTTAAAATTTGTGACCGAACGAGAGGATATTTTTAAAAACTTTCTTCTGCAATATTGTTCTAAATTATGGCAGGAATCGATTGGTACATGTTTCAAGTCGCTAAGTGGTCTGGTTGCCGAGATATGGGCCAAAAACTGAATTTTTTTTGAGGTTTTTTGGCTTTTCCGGGAAATACATGAAAGAAACCCGGAATTTTTATGGCCTATGCTCATTCTCGTAACTTGCTTAACATAATTGCTTTCGGAACTAGTCATCGATATTGCTTCGTTGAGGAGGAGATACGACTTAAAGCCCGGACACACATTCATCCATACATTCATTCATCCATCCATTCCCAGAAATGACGAGTTAATAAACGCAATTCTCCAGAATGGAAATTGCGCTAAAAAAATGTTCACTATGTATTTTACTTACAGGTTTTCTGTTCTGTCTTTTATGAAGTTAAAAAATAACATGAAACTATTTTTTAATTCCCCAGACTGAAGATTTCCAGTTGTACTTTCCAAACACACTTCTAGAAACTGGCCATGACATTTTGTTTTTCTGGGTTGCCAGGATGGTTCAGTTAGCTTTAACATTGACAGACAAGTTGCCATTTAAAGATGTAAGTGGGGTTAATACATGTTCATTCAACTATCAATTTTATTTTTTTAATTAATTTGTGACAAGTATTTTGCATACTCACACGATTACAATTTATTTTTTAATATTGAATAGTTAAAGAAAATTTTAAAATATTTTCACTTTTTTTTTCTCGTCATTAGATTAGTTAATAATCTGAAAAGTCATAATTTATTTTTATGGTTAGATTAAATTATTACTTAAACATATTTAATTTATTATTTATGATTAATTTATATTTTAATGTGTATGTAACAAACCCCACAGTTAACTTAAAAAATTGTTATATTTATTTAAAAACATGTTTTATTTGTAACAAGGCCAGATAAGTTATTTTTAAAAATTGTGATTTGTTTGTAACAAGCCCACAATTTGTTTTAAAAGATATTTTAGCTGTATCAAGCCCACAGGTTATTTTAAATCATATTTTATTTTTAACAAGCAAGCAATTTATTTTAAAACACTTTATTTGTAACCAGCCCACACTTTATTTGTAACCAGCCCACACTTTATTTGTAACCAGCCCACACTTTATTTGTAACCAGCCCACACTTTATTTGTAACCAGCCCACACTTTATTTGTAACCAGCCCACACTTTATTTGTAACCAGCCCACACTTTATTTGTAACCAGCCCACACTTTATTTGTAACAAGCCCACACTTTATTTGTAACAAGCCCACACTTTATTTGTAACAAGCCCACACTTTATTTGTAACAAGCCCACACTTTATTTGTAACAAGCCCACACTTTATTTGTAACAAGCCCACACTTTATTTGTAACAAGCCCACACTTTACAACAGTCATGTCTCTGTGTTTTAGGTTTACCTCCATGCTATGGTGAGGGATGCACATGGTCGCAAGATGAGCAAGTCTTTAGGGAACATTATTGACCCTGTTGATGTTATCCTTGGTATCAGTTTAGATGTGAGTCAAATAAATAGTATAATTGTTCTTTGTAGTTGCTTAATAAACCACATAACTGTGCATGGTTTTTAATCGTTGTTTTCCCACGTAATAGAAAGACAAATAGAAATTAATAGTATTATAAAATTGCTGTTACAAGATATTATACTTTGTTACTTTTGTGATATGTGACATTTTAATTTATATTTGCTACAAGTTGTGTGTTGTCATTTCCTTACCTGTGCAGTTCTAAAAGTTGTTAAAATGTTGTATCTTCAGGACCTCCAGAAAAAGTTGTAAAAGTTGTTAAAATGTTGTATCTTCAGGACCTCCAGAAAAAGTTGTAAAAGTTGTTAAAATGTTGTATCTTCAGGACCTCCAGAAAAAGTTGTAAAAGTTGTTAAAATGTTGTATCTTCAGGACCTACAGAAAAAGTTGTAAAAGTTGTTAAAATGTTGTATCTTCAGGACCTACAGAAAAAGTTGTAAAAGTTGTTAAAATGTTGTATCTTCAGGACCTCCAGAAAAAGTTCTAAAAGTTGTTAAAATGTTGTATCTTCAGGACCTCCAGAAAAAGTTGTAAAAGTTGTTAAAATGTTGTATCTTCAGGACCTCCAGAAAAAGTTCTAAAAGTTGTTAAAATGTTGTATCTTCAGGACCTCCAGAAAAAGTTGTAAAAGTTGTTAAAATGTTGTATCTTCAGGACCTCCAGAAAAAGTTGTAAAAGTTGTTAAAATGTTGTATCTTCAGGACCTCCAGAAAAAGTTGTAAAAGTTGTTAAAATGTTGTATCTTCTGGACCTCCAGAAAAAGTTGTAAAAGTTGTTAAAATGTTGTATCTTCAGGACCTCCAGAAAAAGTTCTAAAAGTTGTTAAAATGTTGTATCTTCAGGACCTCCAGAAAAAGTTGTAAAAGTTGTTAAAATGTTGTATCTTCAGGACCTCCAGAAAAAGTTGTAAAAGTTGTTAAAATGTTGTATCTTCAGGACCTCCAGAAAAAGTTCTAAAAGTTGTTAAAATGTTGTATCTTCAGGACCTCCAGAAAAAGTTCTAAAAGTTGTTAAAATGTTGTATCTTCAGGACCTCCAGAAAAAGTTGTAAATGTTGTTAAAATGTTGTATCTTCAGGACCTCCAGAAAAAGTTCTAAAAGTTGTTAAAATGTTGTATCTTCAGGACCTCCAGAAAAAGTTGTATGAGTACAACCTTGATGAGAAGGAGGTGAAGAAAGCTATGGAGGGACAGGTAGGTCTTTTCACCTGTTGTGTAATGTACAGGTCAGGTAGGTCTTTTCACCTGTTGTGTAATGTATAGGTCAGGTAGGTCTTTTCACCTGTTGTGTAATGTATAGGTCAGGTAGGTCTTTTCACCTGTTGTGTAATGTATAGGTCAGGTAGGTCTTTTCACCTGTTGTGTAATGTATAGGTCAGGTAGGTCTTTTCACCTGTTGTGTAATGTATAGGTCAGGTAGGTCTTTTCACCTGTTGTGTAATGTATAGGTCAGGTAGGTCTTTTCACCTGTTGTGTAATGTATAGGTCAGGTAGGTCTTTTCAGCTGTTGTGTAATGTATTGGTCAGGTAGGTCTTTTCACCTGTTGTGTAATGTATAGGTCAGGTAGATCTTTTCACCTGTTGTGTAATGTATAGGTCAGGTAGATCTTTTCACCTGTTGTGTAATGTATAGGTCAGGTAGGTCTTTTCACCTGTTGTGTAATGTATAGGTCAGGTAGGTCTTTTCACCTGTTGTGTAATGTATAGATAAGGTAGATCTTTTCACCTGTTGTGTAATGTATAGGTCAGGTAGATCTTTTCACCTGTTGTGTAATGTATAGGTCAGGTAGATCTTTTCACCTGTTGTGTAATGTATAGGTCAGGTAGATCTTTTCACCTGTTGTGTAATGTATAGGTCAGGTAGATCTTTTCAGCTGTTGTGTAATGTATTACACAAGCAGGTCTTTACACCTGTTGTGTAATGTACAGGTCAGGTAGGTCTTTTCACCTGTTGTGTAATGTATTGGTCAGGTAGGTCTTTTCACCTGTTGTGTAATGTATAGGTCAGGTAGATCTTTTCACCTGTTGTGTAATGTATAGGTCAGGTAGATCTTTTCACCTGTTGTGTAATGTATAGGTCAGGTAGGTCTTTTCACCTGTTGTGTAATGTATAGGTCAGGTAGGTCTTTTCACCTGTTGTGTAATGTATAGATAAGGTAGATCTTTTCACCTGTTGTGTAATGTATAGGTCAGGTAGATCTTTTCACCTGTTGTGTAATGTATAGGTCAGGTAGATCTTTTCACCTGTTGTGTAATGTATAGGTCAGGTAGATCTTTTCACCTGTTGTGTAATGTATAGGTCAGGTAGATCTTTTCAGCTGTTGTGTAATGTATTACACAAGCAGGTCTTTACACCTGTTGTGTAATGTACAGGTCAGGTAGGTCTTTTCACCTGTTGTGTAATTTATATATTGCTGAGCCTGTCCATACTATTCTGGTTTTTCTGATCCAACATTGCATAAATAATGCATATTCTATCTTGGTCATTAAGGGTACTTTCCCTTTTTGTACCTTAACCTCCATTGTTATAGTAAAAGAAGTAATTTTAGTGATTTAGTGCAAACACTAGACTTATCTCACAGCTGCATGTTTTATACTTGTTTGTCTTTATTTTATAGCTGATGATTTGTCTGGTCCATTTGCTTGTCTGAACAATTTCAATGTACTTATGGAACTTTTTAATTTTGTGCTAAATGAAAGAGCATTTCTGTCAACAGAAAGTTGATTACCCCAATGGTATACCAGAATGTGGTGTTGATGCCCTGAGGTTTGCCCTCATCTCATACACAGCACAAGGTAAACATAAGATCATAGTGCACAGTTTATCTGTCTATAAAACCCATTTAGATGACAGAACTACAGTTGAAATGTATGTGTTTAATACCCAAACAGATGACAGAACTAGAAAGTTAAAATGTGTATTTAATACCCTAATAAATAGATGACAGAACTAGAGAGTTGAAATACCTGTGTTTAATACCCATATAGATGACAGAACTAGAAAGTTGAAATGTGTGTGTTTAATGCCATAGAGATGACAGAACTAGAAAGTTGAAATGTGTGTGTTTAATGCCATAGAGATGACAGAACTATAGAGTTGAAATGTGTGTGTTTAATATCTGTATAGATGACAGAACACTAGAGTTGAAATGCCTGTGTAAAATACCCATAACCAACATCATGAAAATGGTACTCACACAGTGTTTCTGAGACTGACATTTTCCCCTTGTAGGTAGAGACATGAACCTTGATGTTATGTGTGTGACTGAGACTGTACTAATGTAACTTTCATCTTGTAGGTAGAGACATGAACCTTGATGTTATGTGTGTGACTGAGACTGTACTAATGTAACTTTCCTCCTGTAGGTAGAGACATGAACCTTGATGTTATGTGTGTGACTGAGACTGTACTAATGTAACTTTCATCTTGTAGGTAGAGACATGAACCTTGATGTTATGTGTGTGACTGAGACTGTACTAATGTAACTTTCCTCCTGTAGGTAGAGACATGAACCTTGATGTTATGTGTGTGACTGAGACTGTACTAATGAAACTTTCCTTTTGTAGGTAGAGACATGAACCTTGATGTTATGTGTGTGACTGAGACTGTACTAATGAAACTTTCCCCTTGTAGGTAGAGACATGAACCTTGATGTTATGTGTGTGACTGAGACTGTACTAATGTAACTTTCATCTTGTAGGTAGAGACATGAACCTTGATGTTATGTGTGTGACTGAGACTGTACTAATGTAACTTTCATCTTGTAGGTAGAGACATGAACCTTGATGTTATGTGTGTGACTGAGACTGTACTAATGTAACTTTCCCCTTGTAGGTAGAGACATGAACCTTGATGTTATGTGTGTGACTGAGACTGTACTAATGTAACTTTCCTCCTGTAGGTAGAGACATGAACCTTGATGTTATGTGTGTGACTGAGACTGTACTAATGAAACTTTCCCCTTGTAGGTAGAGACATGAACCTTGATGTTATGTGTGTGACTGAGACTGTACTAATGTAACTTTCATCTTGTAGGTAGAGACATGAACCTTGATGTTATGTGTGTGACTGAGACTGTACTAATGAAACTTTCATCTTGTAGGTAGAGACATGAACCTTGATGTTATGTGTGTGACTGAGACTGTACTAATGAAACTTTCCTTTTGTAGGTAGAGACATGAACCTTGATGTTATGTGTGTGACTGAGACTGTACTAATGTAACTTTCCTCCTGTAGGTAGAGACATGAACCTTGATGTTATGTGTGTGACTGAGACTGTACTAATGAAACTTTCCTCTTGTAGGTAGAGACATGAACCTTGATGTGATGGGTATCAGAGACTGAGACTGTACTAATGAAACTTTCCTTTTGTAGGTAGAGACATGAACCTTGATGTTATGTGTGTGACTGAGACTGTACTAATGTAACTTTCCTCCTGTAGGTAGAGACATGAACCTTGATGTTATGTGTGTGACTGAGACTGTACTAATGAAACTTTCATCTTGTAGGTAGAGACATGAACCTTGATGTTATGTGTGTGACTGAGACTGTACTAATGTAACTTTCCTCCTGTAGGTAGAGACATGAACCTTGATGTTATGTGTGTGACTGAGACTGTACTAATGTAACTTTCCTCCTGTAGGTAGAGACATGAACCTTGATGTTATGTGTGTGACTGAGACTGTACTAATGAAACTTTCCCCTTGTAGGTAGAGACATGAACCTTGATGTTATGTGTGTGACTGAGACTGTACTAATGTAACTTTCATCTTGTAGGTAGAGACATGAACCTTGATGTTATGTGTGTGACTGAGACTGTACTAATGAAACTTTCATCTTGTAGGTAGAGACATGAACCTTGATGTTATGTGTGTGACTGAGACTGTACTAATGTAACTTTCCTCCTGTAGGTAGAGACATGAACCTTGATGTTATGTGTGTGACTGAGACTGTACTAATGTAACTTTCCTCCTGTAGGTAGAGACATGAACCTTGATGTTATGTGTGTGACTGAGACTGTACTAATGAAACTTTCCTTTTGTAGGTAGAGACATGAACCTTGATGTTATGTGTGTGACTGAGACTGTACTAATGAAACTTTCCTTTTGTAGGTAGAGACATGAACCTTGATGTTATGTGTGTGACTGAGACTGTACTAATGTAACTTTCCTCCTGTAGGTAGAGACATGAACCTTGATGTTATGTGTGTGACTGAGACTGTACTAATGAAACTTTCCTCCTGTAGGTAGAGACATGAACCTTGATGTTATGTGTGTGACTGAGACTGTACTAATGAAACTTTCCTTTTGTAGGTAGAGACATGAACCTTGATGTTATGTGTGTGACTGAGACTGTACTAATGTAACTTTCCTCCTGTAGGTAGAGACATGAACCTTGATGTTATGTGTGTGACTGAGACTGTACTAATGAAACTTTCCTTTTGTAGGTAGAGACATGAACCTTGATGTTATGTGTGTGACTGAGACTGTACTAATGTAACTTTCCTCCTGTAGGTAGAGACATGAACCTTGATGTTATGTGTGTGACTGAGACTGTACTAATGAAACTTTCCTTTTGTAGGTAGAGACATGAACCTTGATGTTATGTGTGTGACTGAGACTGTACTAATGAAACTTTCATCTTGTAGGTAGAGACATGAACCTTGATGTTATGTGTGTGACTGAGACTGTACTAATGAAACTTTCATCTTGTAGGTAGAGACATGAACCTTGATGTTATGTGTGTGACTGAGACTGTACTAATGAAACTTTCCTTTTGTAGGTAGAGACATGAACCTTGATGTTATGTGTGTGACTGAGACTGTACTAATGAAACTTTCATCTTGTAGGTAGAGACATGAACCTTGATGTTATGTGTGTGACTGAGACTGTACTAATGAAACTTTCATCTTGTAGGTAGAGACATGAACCTTGATGTTATGTGTGTGACTGAGACTGTACTAATGAAACTTTCCTCTTGTAGGTAGAGACATGAACCTTGATGTGATGGGTATCAGAGACTGAGACTGTACTAATGAAACTTTCTTCTTGTAGGTAGAGACATGAGCCTTGATGTTATGTGTGTGACTGAGACTGTACTAATGAAACTTTCTTCTTGTAGGTAGAGACATGAGCCTTGATGTTATGTGTGTGACTGAGACTGTACTAATGTAACTTTCCTCTTGTAGGTAGAGACATGAACCTTGATGTTATGCGAGTCCAAGGCTACAGGTTCTTCTGCAACAAACTTTGGAACGCAACCAAATTTGCCTTGACAAGCCTAGGAGAAAATTTCCAGCCTTATCCAAAGTTCCATGTGAGTTGTCTGGTTCCTGCTTTGTTGTGTCAAGTAGAGCATGTACATTGTAGGCTGGTGTTGTTTTAAATTAGAATATAGTGGTGCTGAAGTTGATTAATGAGAATTGTGTTACTACTAATGTTGCTTGATTTTGGAGTGTATAGCCACTATTTAAGTTTTAAGTGTACTACAGTTAAGTTATTACAATGTACAGGTAGAAAAGTCACTTGATTACTTTGTATTGGTACTATAGTTGCTTGATTACAGTGTACTGGTTCTAAAGTAGCTTGATTATAGTGTACTGGTTCTAAAATAGCTTGATTACTGTGTACTAGTACTAGTACTAAAGTTACTTGATTAGTGTACTGCTCCTAAAGTTGCTAGACCACAGTGTACTGCTCCTAAAGTTGCTAGACCACAGTGTGCTGGTTCTAAAGTTGCTAGACCACAGTGTACTGTCTTTAAAGTTACTTGATTACAGTGTACTGGTTCTAAAGTTGTTTGATTACTGTGTACTGGTTCTAAAGTAGCTTGATCATAGTGTACTGGTTCTCACTTTCCTTGATTACAGTGTACTGGTCCTAAAGTTTTTTGATTACAGTGTACTATCCCTAAAGTTGCTTGATTACAGTGTACTGGTTCTAAAGATTGTTGATTAATGTATACTATTTCTAATGTTGCTGGATTACAGTGTACTGCTCCTAAAGTTGCTAGACCACAGTGTACTGTTTCACAGTGTTTCTAAAGTAGCTTGATTACAGTGTACTGGTTCTAAAGTTGCTTGATTACAGTGTACTATCCCTAAAGTTGCTTGATTACAGTGTTCTGGTTCCAAACTTGCTCGATTACCATGTACTGTAAATGTTTATGTTTGCCCCCAGCTGACTGGTAAAGAAAGTTTAATGGACCTGTTGATCCTGAGTACTGGTTCTAAAGTTGCTTGATTACCGTGTACTGTAAATGTTTATGTTTGCCCACAGCTGACTGGTAAAGAAAGTTTAATGGACCTGTGGATCCTGAGTACTGGTTCTAAAGTTGCTTGATTACCATGTACTGTAAATGTTTATGTTTTCCCCCAGCTGACTGGTAAAGAAAGTTTAATGGACCTGTGGATCCTGAGCCGCCTGTCCCAGGCCATCACTCTATGTAACCAGGGCATGGAGAACTTTGAGTTCCCAACGATGACCAACGCCATCTACAACTTCTGGCTCTACGAGTTGTGTGACTGGTACTTGGTGAGTTCAGTTTTAAAGATGTCTAAAAAAATAAAATTTTCCTTTTGAATCTGAGGGTCTATGGAGCCGTTGAATTAGAGTTCACTTGTTTCCTGAGGGTCTATGGAGCCGCTGAATTAGAGTTCACTTGTTTCCTGAGGGTCTATGGAGCCGATGAATTAGAGTTCACTTGTTTCAGTGACTTCTGCATATGAAGGTATAGTGTGGTCTGAAATATGTCCAGCCACTTTTACTTTCCCTAATGTAAGTTAGGTACCCATCAGAGCTGGGTGGACTCAGGCCAGGGCAGTCCTATGGATTTAAGTCAGGGAGATGAACTTGAGACTTACAGGCTAGCTGTCCTAGAGTTTACCATCTGACCTAGCTGTCCCATTTAAGAAATATATACTTTAGGTGGATTTTTTTTTTTTTTTTTATAACTTTTAAAAAAAATTTATTGTGGTACAATATTTTAAACTCTTAACACTTCCTTTCGAAAAAGTTTTCATGTTTGCTGTACAACTATCAATATTGATGGAATTCTAGTTGCTTAACATTTTTTATTTTTGCACAATTGTATGTTTAGATACCTATTAATTATATAGGATAATTGTTTTTTCAAGTTAATTCATTTAAAAATGTTAAAAGCATTAGTTATTTTAATATGTTGGAATACTTTAAGTTTAAATTGCGTATTAACCATACATTTAGATTGATACAATAATAAAATAATTTTACAAGTACTTACCTCCCCTGTACTCACGCTTACCTCCCTTGCCTTAGGAATGCATCAAACCTGTGATAAACGGGACCAACACAGAGGCCATCTCAATATGCCGTAATGTTCTCTTCACCTGCCTGGATGAGGGACTGAGGCTGCTGCACCCGGCCATGCCCTTCTTGACGGAGGAGCTGTACCAGAGGTTGCCCAGGAGGTCAGCTGATGCCCCCGCCAGTATTTGTGTCACACCTTACCCAGAGCCAGCAGAGGTCAGCTCTTGTTGTTTGTTTTTGTTTCAGTGTATAACTATAATAATAAAACATGTCGGGTTATATTTTTCATTCGGGGTCATCCATAAATGACGTCACACTGTTTCTGATGATTTTTACCTCTCCACCCCCCCCCCCCCCCCCCTCCATCACACACTGTCACAAAAAGCCAGACCCCCCTAAAATGACATCACACCTCAGCCTAGAAACCCCCCCCCCCCCCCTTCAAAATTGCTGTTGAATTCTTTTTTTAAACATCGATATTTTTCCAAAATCTTGTCTGAACTCTGTCAAAATAGATTATTTTAATCAATTCCTATTACAATTTATTAAAACAGTTTTCTAAAACACGAAATAACGTCTAAAATTCGTTTTCTAACATTGCTTTTTTATAATGCAAAAGTGTGTTGTCGCACCATCTGAACTCCTCCCCCGCATCACACCGTCACAAAATTACGAACCCCCCCCCCTCCCCCTATGAGTGTGACGTCATTTATGGACGACCCCTCACTATTGACCCTCCTGTTTTGTCAGTGTTGGTTATGTTTGTTCCCCCCCTATTCACTCACACAAGTATGTATGTCCTACTCTGTGATTATCACAAGAAGTTTTGTTGCTCCCTGTCCCTGCCCACACATCAGCCATTTTATGTACAGGCTGTTAGTGTTCTGAGTACTTTGAAAGATGATGTTGGCTTACTTATGTCAGTAGTAAGTTTGTAAGGTTACCCATTCAAACCTGGCAGTCTAATGGTTAGTGTAGGGGGAGATGAAGTAGAGTTCACCTGTTTCTGTGGCCCTGGCATATGAAGGGATAGTGTGGTCAGCACTATGCTCAGTCAGGTACCCATCAATTGGGTGTACTCAGAAATTGAGCCCAGGATCTGAACATGAGATTTTTTTGTTAGAAGCCCTGCACTCTGCCGTATGACTACGCCACCCAATAGCCTGCCACTGACTTTTCCCTATTTGTCACTGATTTGTCACTAAATGCCACTGTCTTGTCACCAAGTGCCACTGTCTTTCTCCCATATTTTGCCCTCATCTATAGAATATCTCTCAACAGAAATTCTTCTATTACTTTATATTCCATTAAACTATTTAGCAACATAACTATGAAGCATTTGTATGAATACACATGTGTATGAATACACATATAAAGAAAAACAACCACTTTCTCTTGCAGCCCTCTAACAGTCTAGTCTGCAACCCCAACCCTATAGCCTACAACCCAGCCCTGGAGGCCAACGTTGAGTTTGTCCAGAACATCGTCAAGAGCATCCGATCTGTTCGGTCTGACTACCAGCTCCTGCCTAAAACTAAAATTGAAGGTGTGGAGGACATTTTTAGTTTACCTAACATTAGTTCCAACATGTGTTGAAAATAATACATTTAGTTTTCTAACCTTTTAAAAATATTAAAGTATATGTTACATTTTTGTTCACCAAGTAAGGTGCGTTCAATTTTACTTTTTGCTCATATTCATGTCAATACCTTAAGAGGGGGTTAGCTTGGTCAAGTCTGTAAAGCTTATGTTTGCTAAACTGAAAAGTCGTGTTCGAAATCCATGGGCAGATGAGTCTTAATAGCTGGAGATAGCCACTCTTTTAGGAGAGACAACTCCAAAATCAAACCACTACTGTCTTGTAGTTTGTTCTTGGTTGGACAAAGGCTATGGAAGCAAATGCAAAAAGAAAAGCAGGCTGAAATTGGAGTCAATGGCCTATATAACGCAAAACAAGTTGACATTTAATACTTAATTGTGTTGAAGGAAATCCCTTCCAACACTAAATTTTAAGAAAAAGGAAGAAAAAGACTAACATAAGGCTAATCCTGGTCATGATACTAATCCTGGACCTAGTTAATCCTAGCTCTAACTAATTGAAATAAAATCCTGGATAATTTACTTAATTTCCCTTTAGGCAAATATAGACCTAGTTTTTTACAATGATGTGAAGCTTATGCCCAACTATTTAATATTTGGTAGTGTGTGAAGTTTCAGCTGATTAAAAAGTTTTGATGTTTATGTTAAACTATTTACTGCTTGTTAGTTTAGCCTACCTGAAATATTGAAATCATAAAAACTCACTCAGCTAATGTCCAGCTAAATAGTTTTCCAGTTTACCTGAAGTGTTCATATAAAATAAAAATAGTAAAGCTAGTGTTCAACTATTTACTTTATTGTCAGTTTACATCAAAGTGTTCCGATGATAAAAAAGTTGTAAAGCTAATGTCCATCTATTTACTGTTTGCCAGTTTACCTGAAGTGTTCATATAATAAAAACTTGTAAAGCTAATGTTCATTTACTTTCTTCAGTTTACCTGAAGTGTAGAGATAATTAAAAAAAATTGTAAAGCTAATGACCAACTATTTCATGTTTGCCAGTTTACCTGAAGTGTTCAGATGATGAAACAGCTCTGATGCTCAAGTCCTTCGAGGCTGTGACCTCCACCATGGGCAACACCAGCCAGGTCAGCTACCTGGTCAACACTGACCCCCCTCTGGGCTGTGCCATGATGACAGTCTCTGCCAGATGTGAGACTCACATCATGCTCAAGGTAACTCACTGTCATTTCTCTTGATGGTTTTTGTTTGGTATACTTTGGTTTTATCTTAACACACAATCTTTTGGGCAGGGATCTTTCTCTTTTGTCACATTATCACTGCTAATCACTGTCCTGTTGGGGTATGGGCCACCAATCAAAGATCTCCAGAGTCCTCTGTCCTGCTGGGGTATGGGCTGCCAACCAAAGATCTCCAGAGTCCTCTGTCCTGCTGGGGTATGGGCCACCAATCAAAGATCTCCAGAGTCCTCTGTCCTGCTGGGGTATGGGCCGCCAATTATAGATGTCCTCTGTCCTGCTGGGGTATGGGCGCCCAACCAAAGATCTCCAGAGTCCTCTGTCCTGCTGGGGTATGGGCCGCCAACCATAGATCTCCAGTCGTCTGCCTTGTACCATTTTCTCAACCTGACTCCAGGTGAAGCCCATCTTTGTGGTTTCAGTCTCAAGGTCCTGTCTCCAGATGTTTTTGGTTGACCTCTGTTGCGCTTTCTTTCTTTGAGGGTTGCGCAGTGTGTACCCTATCCAACCAAGTCTTCTTTTCCTAATTTTATCTTCAGTGGCAAGTTGTCGTTTTGTTTTCCATAGGTTAACATTGGTAATGGTATCAGGTCAGCGGATCCTGAGCCTGTTCTGTTTAGTAAAAGTTAGTTTTTGTTTGATGTACTTTGGCTTTATCATTACACATGAACAATCTAAGGGAGGTGATCTGCTCTCTTTAGTAAAAGTTTATTTTTATTTAGTTTACTTTTGTTTTATCTTAACACACAGACAATGTAATAGGCAGTGATGTGTTCTCTTTTCTGTTTTTTATGTTGATCTGACTTCAGTTTGATGAGCATCTGTTGCTGATATTGTTTTGTTTGTTGAGCTTACTTCAGTTTGATGAGCTTCTGTTGCTGATATTGTTTTGTTTGTTGATCTGACTTTGATGAGCATCTGTTGCTGATGTTGTTTTGTTTGTTGAGCATACTTTGATGAGCATCTGTTGCTGATATTGTTTTGTTTTTGTTTCCATCAGGGCCAGATCGACATACCCAAAGAAAAGGAAAGGCTAGAAGCTAAGAAAGACAGTTTGGCCAAAAGTCTGGCCAAGCTTAGAGAAGCGGCCAAGGTTCCAGATTATGAGAGCAAGGTGCCTGAAGATGTCAGAGTTAAAAATGAGGAAAAGGTAAGGACATAATCTACAAGATGTATACACACACTATATGATGTACACACTACACACTGTACATGATGCACACACTCTACACAGTACACGCTGTACATACTTTACATGCTCTACAGACTCTACATGGTTTGCTTGCTCTACATACCTTACACACTCTTTACAGTCTACATGATGTACACGCTCTACATGCTATACATGGTCTGAACACTGCACACACTACATGCTCTACGCACTAACACACACTACACGCTCTATGCACTATACATACTCTACACATGATAAACCCTATACACACCTTAAAATTTAAAGATTCCTCAATAATTATAAATTAAAATGTTCCAAAACATTACTAGATACTTGGGGTCGGCGTGGTCGAGTCGGTATAGCTCATGGTTGCTAAACCGAAAAGTCTCGAGTTCTAACCCCGGGCAGATGAGGCTGGTTAGCTGGGGACAGCCACTCTTCTAGGAGAGACAACTCCAAAATTAAACAACTGCTGCCTTGTAGTTTGTTCTTGGTTGGACAAAGGCTATGGAAGCAAATCCAAAAAGAAAAGCAGGCTGAAATCGGAGTCAATGGCCTAAATGGCGCATAAACAGTTGACATGTAACGCTTAATTGTGTTGGAGGCGTGGTCGAGTCGGCAAAAAGCTCATGGTTGATAAATTCAAACAGTCTCGAGTTCAAACCCACTGGCAGATAAATCTCGATCACCGTCAACACTAATAATTAAGAACGAAGAAGAAGAAGAAGAAGACTAGATACTTAAACTTGTTATTAGAAGCAACAAATTAATAATATTGTGCAACAATCTAACTTTGAACATTCTCTCTCTTCTCGTCTCCCCCCCCACCCCCCTCTCCCCTTTGTCACTTCTTAAGCAACTATCCTTCAACTTAGAAAAATAACATAGACTAGTTAGTTGCCACCTTGGGAATGATAATGTAAATTCCAATACTATTTAAATTGATGAAATATTTAAATTTCTAACAAATACATGCGATCAAGTGCCATTGATTTAGAACCATTATTTTATTTTATAATAAATTATATAATAATTGTATAGTTAATAAGTGATTTAATTCAGTGTTTGTTATTGTGTGTGTGTTTCAGATGAATGAATTATCAGCTCAGTTAGAGACCATCACCAACTCAATAGAGACGCTACTAAAGTTACAGTAAATAAAGTAGTTTAATTTCTCCAGTATTGACCACTGTCCAGCAGTATCATGCCTTGTAATGATGTGAACTTTGTTTATCTTGCTGTAAACCTTATTTTGTTTGTTGATGCTTATTCATTATTTAATTAACCTGATTAATAAAATTCTAATCATATAAAAAAATTTGTTTCATTCTAAAGTTTGTGTTCACTTGAAATTTTGTTCCGTTCTCATAAAAAGTACTCTGGTTCTTACAATGCTCAATTTGAATTAGTTTATCAATAAAGCTTAGATTTAGGGTTTACGTTATTCATGTCAGCACTAAATATCTGTTTAATGTCAGCTTTTCACTGAATTCCTTTACTTAAACTATTCACAGTTTGTGTTTATGTAAAAGATTCTATAATGCAAATCACTGACTGTATTTTTATTTATTTATGACTTTAGAAGTGAAGAAAGCGTATCTGTATTTAATGTACTCAGTCTGTATGTTGTATTAAACAGTTGAATTGGTGAAAACAAAGTCTTGATGCTAAAATAAACTTCAATTATAAAATCTGGTGTCCTTGTGAATGGGTTACAAAAGGGAAAAAAGCTATTGTAGCTGTGTAGTAAAGAAAACAAAAATCTTTTTAGACTAATTACAATATAGTCATTTTAATTAATTGAGTTTTGTTTAAGAGTTTAATTTTGCCTAATTTTTTATGTTTGCCAAGTAAATTTAAGCATAGTAAATATCAACAGAGGAATTTTACAAGTCCTGGGGTGGGGGCGACTATAATTACTGGAAGTAATCAAGAGAGATAATCAATTTTTTTTCTTAACTTCCGTCACTCCCTTGTATGATATATTTAGAAAATTAGTAACGTTCTTCTATTTGTGTGACTGCAAGTATTGCACCACACTCGTGTCGTAGACATAAAACGATCAAATACAAGCCAGCTATCGGACTGAGCCGTGGTGGTGTGGGTAAAACCACGACTTTATCAACAGAGCCTAAAGCTGATGATTTGTGCTCCAGTTCTCGGGCTGGGGTACAACCACACCACTAACCCGATACTCAGTTCTTTTGCTGGGTTTGTTGGGGTTTTTTATTCTTTTATTTTAAAGTATTATTTGTATCTAAAGCTTTTATTGCATATTTAATTTTATCATATATTTTTCTTTAATAAAAAAAGTTAGATCTTATAAAAAGTTTAAATAATGTATTTCCTATACACTATGAATAAAACACAGCCTTTATTACAGCCTAATTCTGCCAGCATTCATAGGCTTATAATTTGATTAAAATAATAAAAATCAGAGACGATTGCCTTAGTAATTTCATAGAAAACAATTTCGTAGGATTCGTGCACATTTTATAAAGTAGGTTTTAAAAGGGCACAGTTTGAATGGTAGAGATACACACCTCTCACCCCCCACCTCTTCTAGAGATGCTTAGAAGAAACTCTACTTGCTTGGTAATTATGTGATTTTAATTAATCAATTAAATAATAAACTGATAGCTTTAGTGATACGGGGTTTGTTTTTTGGTGGGGGTGGGGGGGGCACTATTATTTTTAAGACATCTGTTAAAATCAAACGTATCTATAAGACTTACATTTCAAAATCTAAGACTTATCAATTCAACGCTAACCCTCATCTATTCAATTCTAAGACTTATCTATTCAAGACCTATCTATTCAATTCTAAGATACCTATTCAACTTTCTCTTTCATTCTTCTATTCATGACCCGAAATGTTTTTGCTCTGTATAGCGTAGTTAATTTGAACAAATGATCCTATTGACAGGGCCGATAATATATTGCTGGAAACCTGACATATCGTGGTTCTCTCCCCTTGCGGTATCGTGTTTTCCAACGAAGGGTTTGTGTATAGGAGTTTTCTTTTCAATCGTGTGTTCAATACTTTGAGGCCATCGATAAATTGACACGTTTTTTTTTTTAAGGAATGTGTTGAGACAGTAAACAGAACTTATATGCTCAGATAGATCTAGTAGGCTCGTGTGTAAAGTTGTTTTCTAATTATGTTTGGAGAATTATTTTGTAACTGAAAATTGTTTTTAATTTTTTTTTTAAACTACTCAGAGAATATTGCTTAGATAAACAGTAGGCCTATATATGAAACAAGTCAATAAATTTTAAGTATCAGTCTTCAGGATTTCTGTATTTTTCGCGCGCACACACACACACACACACACACATACACACACATACACACACATACACACACACACATATATATATATATATATATATATATATATATATATATATATATATATATATATATATATATATATATATATATATATATATATATATATATATGTATATATATGTGTGTGTGTGTGCGAAAAAAATGTTTTTAAAATATGGATTTATATTCAGCATCGGCTTTCTAAATATCCAGGGTAAATCAGAGAAAGCCAGTCCACCCCTGGCTAAAGCTATATCTAAACTTAATCAGCTGTTGCATAAGCCTATCAAGTAAGTTTTTTTTTTAATCGCACGAGATTTTTTTAAAGGTGTATTAACAGTCAAGCCAGACTCGATTACTTCTGTTGACTATGTTTAATTAAAACGATCTGATATCGAGTGCAGTGGCGACAGCTAATCCGGGTGGATTAACGGCCCCAAAATTATCGCAATATCGATTACACAGTCTACGTCAATACCAGGAGATACCGTCTGCCAGACAAACACGGTGGCTGTGAAGATTTGCGGCATTGGGAAAGTGATACGACCAGTACACTCTAATCGATAAAACACGGGGTCGCTAGCAGTCTAAAAACGGCTTCAGTTCAGTTAGGTCTATGCTGACTGCAGAATTTGTTTATTTCATTCGTTATTTTTTCATCATGGTGATATGCAGTGTTTCTTCCAGACATTTTTCTCCGGGGGGTTGCAGGGGGTGGTGGTGCGGTCTTCCCCCGATGAGATTCCTTGAAGAAACTCTGGTGATATGATGCCAATGTAAAGATATGGTTTCAGATCCAACCCAGTCATTTTTAAATGTTAACCACACTTTTTTACTCTCTATATATTTTTCAATATGTAGTTTTATAAAACTATGTAATATATATATATATATATATATATATATATATATATATATATATATATATATATATATATATATATATATATATATATATATATATATACTTATCGCTTTCAAATTGCGATTTGTATTATTTTAAAAAATGTTTGATATAAAACAATATCTATGTTACTTTCTGTTGCTTATTTTTAAAATTTCAGAATTCAAGTATTAAATCGGTCACAGTAAAAAGTGAGAAATAACATTATCTTTATTGGGAAGTTAATTAATTACAATAATTACTGAATTCGTCTCAATGACCTATACATGTCAGCCGCTGAACAGACCAGCATGACGTCACCGGAAGTCATGGCCGCGCGCATTCTTGTGGAGAACGTCTTAAAGAGTGTAGCAGAAAACTCGTCACCAAATGACGTCAGGTTCAGCAAGGGAGGCGACTCTATGATCGAACGACGACTGTATGTGGTTAGCCGAACCGGGTCGGGTGAAGTGAGTTACCTCCTCCTCACGGAAAATTTTTCCGCCATCGTGTCGTACCGCGTGCACATCGAGAAATGGCAGCAGACGTACGGGGTGGCGGATTTCGGAGTGGTCGCCCTTGGGAAGTCCATCTACATCCTGGGCGGCTTCGACAAAGTTCAAGGTCGTTGTTTGACCCGAGTCGTCAGGTGAGTGATTCTGCTTTTAGTTGTGTTTGGTGTGGCGAGGGGGGGGGGGAGCCAATGACGACGAAAGATTTCTATTTATCTATCTTTTCACAAGGGACAGTGCATAATATAACATACATTAAAAAAACAGAGGCTTTTCACACGGGACAATGCATAATATAACATAACAAAAACAGAGGCGTAGCAACCCATTCTGGCGCCCGGGGCGAACTATTGATTTTGCGCCCCCTCGACATTGTGTATAGTTATAGATTTTTTAACCTGTCATTTATCCCTTTGTATTTTAGTGTCAAACAATTGATGAAGTTTAATAAAGCCAAGTAGCTTTTCTTAACTTCGATTGTGTGTAATTCAGTGATGAAGCTCAGAATAAGTTTTATATATTTTTATTCTACCCCTTAGGGTCGTCGCCCGGGGTGGCCGCCCCACCAGCCCTCCCCTAGCTACGCCTCTGGTGGTTTATCATTCATGTGTTATAAGAGATACTAGGCATGCTGCCCAGCTTCGCTTAGGCTTTCGAAAACATTGAGAATTTGAATGCTTAATTAATTCGCCCGAAGGTCGGTCTACGACCTCAAGAGTTATGAAGAGGTTCCTCCGTGGACATTTTTTTTCGATTTATAGCTCATATAAGGTACCGGTCAGTCGAGGTCAGTTTTGACCCCCACATCGTAGACTTTTCGGCCAACCGGCCCCCGTGTTCTGTCGCACCAAGGCAAGATCATGCCAAATTTGAAGCGCCTGCGGCGCCGGGAAGTGCCCTATCGGACACCCGACAATCTAGAATCTAGATCTAGATTCCTAAAAGAATTTTTTTTTTAAGTTTAGCCCGAGCATAATAAAAAGAATACATTAACCAAGTTGACTTGCTGTGTCTCGAACCCGCACCACCTGCGTGGTTTAATGTACACTAACATCTCCGCTATTTAGGCACCTTATAAAATACGGAGAATGAAACACGTATTTTAAAATCTTAACTTACACGAATATGCCTATTCTTTCAAATTATTTTTTTATCCCAAATTAGCCAGTTCATAACAAAGATTTTGTATAAAATAAATAAGTCTTGAAATAGTTTAGTCCTAATATAGAAATTTATTTTTGGAATAGATTTTAGAGAAGTTAGAGTCTAAATCTAGATCTTAGCGTCTACGTCTAGATTATAGATCTAGTTATTGCGTAGATTTAGATTTAGTCTAGATCGAGAATCTCTAGATCTAGAATAGAATCCAAATAAATAAAATAAATTTTATGAGTTTAGGCCGGAAAAACTGTATTGTATACATTTCATAGTGTACGTAGATCTAAATCAAATTTGAATGAAATAGTTCATTTCTTTTTATTCAAAACACAGCAGATGACGTCATTAGTTAATGTATAAGCAATAGCGACGTCACAGTTTTATGCGTTCTTTTTCACATGTATTAATGCTTTTCCGGTTGCATAAATAATACTGTTTCTCTACATTCGAATACGCCTTTAATTTTTATTTTTCTTCTTTAAGTAAAATTGTGGTTATACATTTAAAACATCTAACATATTATTTTCAACAAAAGTCCGTAAAAAGTTCTCGATATATCGCTGCCGATTCTGACGTGATGTCCGGCGAAAATTTTTTGCGGACAGAGAAAGAGAGAGAGAGAGAGAAGAGCGCACATGGCCTTTTATAAATTAGGATGGGCGGTTCAGAGTGTACAGAGAATTAACGTTTATAAAATCCCGTATCATAACAATGTTTTAAATCGCTGAAATAAGAATACTAGAATAAGTATTCACGTCCGTGGTCGGCTCTCGAGATTTAAAATATCGACGAACACAACTCATCTCAGTCTTAACCAGTGTTTATTTCAGACTTTTTTTCTCCGGGGGGGGGGGGAGCAATTGAAATTTTCGGGGTAGTGGTCAACATTTTTCGGGGGGGGGGGGGGGGGGCGTAAAATACACTAGTACATACACTTGTAAAAGTGTATGTTTATTATATAAAATTCATCTCGTTCGGGGGGCGGTAGACTTTCTTCGGGAGGGGGGGGGGCGGAGCCCCCCGAAGAGATGCCTGGAAGAAACTCTGGTTTTAACATCTTTTTAATGATATGCTTTTAGATAACAGATGTCCGATAATAGACTCTCCCAAAAATAGGTGTATTGTAACCTCGACAGTGGCGTAGCCAGGATCGTCTCAAGGGGGGGGGGGGTGTGGTCCAATTTTTACCCGGGGACAAACTTTCTATTTGCACCCCCCCCCCCCCCCGTCAAACTTACGATTTGCACCCCCCCCCCCCCAAACTTTCGATTTGCACCCGCCCTCAAACTTTCGATTTGCACCCCCCTCATACGTTTTATATATATACCGAGGGGTCTATTGGGGGGGGGGTTATGACCCCCCCTAACCCCCCTGCCTACGCCACTGAATCTCGACTAATTTTATGGCTAGAAATTAGAGTTAGGCGTATGGTAGGACTAGGGTTGGGGTTAGGGATAGGGTTTGCATTGACATTAGCAAGCTATATGTGTATTTTAGTTAACTACCAGTAACCTTCAGAAGATTCTATTATCGACACTGGTATAAAAATTCCCCCTGAAATGTTGCTGCATTTAGAATTGAGTCGTAAGAAAGTTACTAAAAGGGACAAAAATCATGCAAAAATCTAGAACAATTTTTTGTGTGCGACAAAATGCATTTTTTGGTCCTCTCTCTGTAGTTATGACAAGAGTTATCGCACCTGATCGAGTCGTTCGTCCTCAGATACAACCCGTGTACTGACGAATGGTTCGAATGTCGAAGCATGTCTGTGGCCAGGTGTAAATTTGGGGTCTGTGTTGTTAAAGGGAGAATTTTTGTCTGTGGTAAGTATATAACATTGTTTTATACTTACAGAACAGTTTTATAATTACAGAATAGTTTATAATTACATAAGATTGTATTATACTTACAGAACGGTTTTATAATTACAGAACAGTTTTAGAACAGTTGTATAATTACAGAACAGTTTTATAATTGCAGAACAGTTTTATAATTGCAGAACAGTTTTATAATTACAGAACAGTTTTAGAACAGTTTTATAATCACAGAACAGTTTTATAATTACAGAACAGTTTTATAATTACGAAAGTTTCATAATTACAGAACAGTTTTATAATTACAAAAGTTTTATAATTACAAAAGTTTTATAATTACAGAACAGTTTTAGAACAGTTTTATAATTACAGAACAGTTTTATAATTACAAAAGCTTTATAATTACATAACAGTTTTATAATTACAAAAGTTTTATAATTACAGAACAGTTTTAGAACAGTTTTATAATTACAGAACAGTTTTATAATTACAAAAGTTTTATAATTACAGAACAGTTTTAGAACAGTTTTATAATTACAGAACAGTTTTATACTGCTAGCCCTAAGGTCTCTAGTTCGGATCTCAGTTCGGATTTTTGACTGTAAGACGTCCCAAAGTTTACCCAGCTCTGATGGGTACCTGACTTACGTTGGGGAAAGTAAAGGCGATTGGGCATAGTGCTGACCATATTATCCCTTCATAACAGAGGTCAAGAAACATGAACCCAATGGATTGCTATGTCTGGAGAGGAATCTTTACTTTTTTCAGTGGCCTACGTACACTGAGTTGATGCCCTTACCTCAGGGCCGGCGCTACCTATAAGGCGCCATCCCTAGGGGGGGGGGGGGGGGGGAGGGGGCGCAAAAAGGTTTAATTGCTATTATCAAAAAGTACCCAATAATTAATAACTTTGATTATCTTTTATAAACTACAAGCTGACCCGCGACGTAGCATACGCCGCTATTTAGTTTAATTCCTATTTTTCAGTAACTCATTATTTGTGAATTCGACACTACCAATGCTGTGACTGAAAATATTTTGCTTTAAAACACTATCAGTAGCTAGTGAAGGACGATTATCCTCACCCTCACTTTCCACTTCTCTGCCTCTCCCCCCCCCCCCCCCCCCCCCCACCTCCGTGAAAGCAGCCGTCCGTGACGACAGTTTACAGACAACAATGAAAAGAGCAAGCAGAACATTTTATTACCTCCCCTTAATTTAAAATCGTTTAAAAACTAAATTATCTGCCCCTAATAGACGTCACTACGATTGTAAACAGCTCACCAGGCTGGAGGGGGTGGGGGTGGTAGCGATACGGTCATGTAGAGGATTATATACATAGATAGACAGGGTAATAAAGAAATGAGCAGCGATCTATTTTGGCGCCCAGGACGAACTACCAATTTTGAACCCCCACCCCAAAATTAGGCCTATATAGGCCTACATTTATTAGCGTTGGTGAAAATGCACCCACACTTCCCTAATTTGGAAAATCAGGGCGCTTTTTATCAGTCACTTTGCCTTTTTATTTTGGTTTCACATAATTGATGTCGAAAACGATTTAAAAAGTTCGTTATTTAAATTTCGAACATTTCAAAGGGTTATCTAGTTTTAATGTTGATTTAGTGATCGCTCAAGCGCATGACGGGGCGTTCCATCCAAAACACGTGAAATTTTGGTTTTTAATAGGGCTTGTAAGTCTCGATTTCTCTGACTTTGAATTAGAAATCTGTTCTGGTGTATTGAGTTTTGTAATCACGGGGTGTTCAAAGTATTGTAATTGTTTGGTAAGTTTTGATGAATCGTTTAGATTTGGGAGTAAGGGCGGAAGGCTGTTGCTGATATGGTTTCGTAGGTATAAAGTATAGAAGCGTTAAAGTGTCGTATGTTTTATTTGGCTGTTGTGTAGTTAAAAGTATAGTGGAATGATTGATAGTAGTGAAATGAGAATGTAGGTGATGAGGTATCGTAGTTCTGGAGTGCGGGACTATCGAGTCTTGTGGTATTAAGGCATTGACTGTTAATGTGTAGTAGTAGGTCCAGTTAAGTCGTTGTTGATTGGGAGTATCGTTTGTAGAGCTTGGTGAAGTTAAGCGATGTGGTGTCGTAGTTCTGGAGCATCAAGTCTAGTTATGTTTAGGTATCAAAGTTTGATATGTATTGTTAATGTAATAAAGTCTATGAGCAGTTGAGTTTATTGTAAGTTAGATGATTTCAATTCAGGACGGAACACACTACAAAGAAAGGTAGGCGTTCTCTTGCTGACAATCTTTAGTTTTTGGGAATCTATATTACCACTCTTAAAGTATTAATATATAATATTACATAGGCTGGAATTTAAAATTTACCGTATGCTTTGTTTTTTTTTTCAAATTTTAAATTTTTTTTAATATTTAATCAATAATTACAGCAATATCTTAAAGTTGACAGTTACCTGTATTTGATTTTTTGTAAAGGCGTCCCCTTATTCAGGGGATCCAAAATTTTGTATTTGCACTCATGTAACCTCACACCATTTAAAGTGTCATCAATATTAATTAGAAGTATGTTTCTAATAAAACCAATGTATTTAGACTTTCAAGCAAAACCTACAGTTAATTAGTTAATAAGTAAAATATATTGTTTTGAAATAGTTACATAGCTAATGTAAACGATTTATTATAATTATTATGTAATAAAATTTAGACTGTTTTATTGTGTTTTTCAAGCATGTCTTATTTGCACTTGATTAATTTAGCTATTCTTGTGGAAGTTATTTCCCTTGTATTAAATTTTGGTATTTTGGTTTCCAAATGGGAGATAATTTGTTGCTTAACTTTACATTCGTTTCAAATTCCTGCATCTTAGATTATCCGCTGACATTATAAATACAACTTAAAGTTATTATTTGCTTTTGTTAAAATTATATAGAGTAGAAATTCCAAACAAAAAAAGTGGTATGATTTTATAGCATTATCCAGTTGAAAAACAAATGCATCAGTAGCTGTTGTAGATTGTAATACTTAATGTTAGTAGAGATACAGTATGAGATAGTGCAACAAATGTGTCTAAAAGCGTCTAAGTCGCAAACTAATCATCTAATTAATTGTCTTTTTCATATTTTTCACCTTCTCATAAAGGATTCCTATATAACAATTATAGGCTGGAATCTATAACCTTTATAACCTTTAATTTTTCAAAAGAAAAAAAAATCGTAACATAATTTTACAATATAGACATTTAAGTCTTATAACAAAAAAAACAACAGTTAAGCTTAAAACAGGTAAGTTCTGTCCTGGAACTCACCTTGGGAGGTCTGCAGAGAGCCCAACACTACAAGACTTTTTTTTCTCCCGTTAGGGAGGGAAGGGGGGGGGGGGGGAGGAAAGCACTTGAAATTTTCTACGGGGGGGGGGGGGGGGGGCTATGTCGTAAAGTACAAAGTACACTCGTGGACAATTTTAATAGAATGTGATTACGCTTGCCAACTGGAATTGAAGGATTTAGTACAAACTTTTGCGACGAATGAGGCAAGTAAAATTTGATTTTGATGTCTACTTTTGATGTATGTGCAATTGATAATAAATTAATATGTCACTTTTAATAAATTGTTTTTCTTATACATGTTTAAGTAAGTAATTTAAGTGAAAGGGGGTGTTGTAATAAGTTTTGGCTAGGGCGCTTAAATAACCTGGTGCCGGTCACTGCCAGAGTTTTCTGCCAGGCATCTCTTTGGGGGGGGGGATCCGCCCCCCCCCCTCCCCCCGGCCCCGAAGAAAGTCTACCGCCCCCCGCCCCCCCCCCCCCCCCGAACGAAATGGAATTTATATAGAATATATATACATTTTAACAGTGTCCGCCCCCTCCCGAAGAAAGTCTACCCCCCTCCCCACCCCTCACCCCGAAAATTTCTTGTGCCCCCCGGAGAAAAAAGTCTGGAAGAAACACTGGGCACTGCCTTATCTATTGATTCTACTTCTACTGTAGAGAAAATCTATTTTTATGTGACGATTTGGCAAGTTAAAACTAAAACGATATGTTGTTGAGTTTCATTGGGTTTATGGGGGGGGGGGGGGGAGATTATTGCAGCCATTACGGCCTCAGCGGATGTTAGGTTTAATGAATCGATTACATGCAAAAATCAGTTTTGAAACAGCCTTACAATGTCGAGGCTTTTAAAAAAAAAATGCAAAATCAGCAGTTGGGCGGAGAGTTTAGTTTTAATAGAATACAAAGGTCTATAAACTGGTTAAACCTCTCTTTCTATCCCTCTTAATTTAACCCTTCCCTCGCCTCTCTTTCAGAGGCGAATCCTGGGGAGAGCGGGGTGGGGCGAATGCCCCCGGTGTTGACCCTAGGGGGGGGGGGGCGCCTGACGGGGTAAGAAAAAAAATTAAAAGCTAGTTCTGAGTTGCTTTACTATATTAAATACAATAGCTATTAAGCTACTTGGCTAACCGGGGGGGGGGGGGGGGGGGGGGGCACAATTGATAGTTCGTCCCCGGGTGCCGGAATGGGTCCGCTACGCCTCTGCTCTCTTCTGCCTTCTCACTCTACACCCCCCTCTCAGACATACCTGCCGTATACATATATGTGTGGTTCTAGGTGGAGAGACCGACGATGGTAAAGTAACCGGAAGTTGTGAGATCTATGACCCGGAAACTAACCTCTGGTCCAAATGCGGATTCTCTCGTGTCGCCTAGGTCTGGCTGCGCATGCGCAAACAACGGCAAAGAGTTAATTTGTGCAGGAGGATACAACGGAGGGAAGGCTCATAACAACCTCTGGTAATGTGTGAATTGTTATTTTTTTTTATTTGAATCACTTAAATTTCTGTCCTACATTCCCTTAGTGGTAGTAATTAGTCTGACGTTGTTTACAAGGACAATAGTTATAGTTGCCGTAGCATCATCGTGACGTCATTTATTGAGGGGTCATCCATAAATAACGTCACGCTTTTTTTGACGATTTTTACCTATCCCTTCTTTCCGTCACACGTCGTCACGAAAAGCCAGACCCACCCCCTAAAATGACGTCACACCGTCAGTTTTACAACCCCCATCAAAACTACAGTTGAATTTTTCTTAAAACGTCGATATTTTTCAAAAATCTTGTAAGAACTCTGTCAACATACAGTATTTTAATTTTTAATTCAATTCCTATTACAATTTATTAAAACCGTTTTCTAAAAAACGCAAAATAACGGCTAAAATTCTTTTTTCTTACATTTCTTTTTTTATGATGCAAAAGTGTGACGTTCACACAATCTGAGCCTCCCCCCCCCCCAGCCTAATCACACACCGTCACAAAATTACGGACCCCCCCCTCCCACCTACGAAAGTGACGTCATTTATGGACGGACTCCTGGACGAAATCCTATTAATTCTTATTCTACCCATATTGAAGTGTTTTCTCTGCATAAGAAATGTGTTGACTGAAGTACATTGCGATAAATTTTTATTTTCTACTGTAGGCTGTATGGACAAACACAAATGGCAGGAAATCGGCAAAAAAACCCACACGGTATTCCATATAATCTTCACAGATGTGCGCTGACAAGGGCGAAAAACACTTTGTATTTTATAGGAGGTGACGTCATACTATATCAAACTACTGTATTAGCTAATCAGATATAGGTAGAGAATGAGTGGACATAATAGCGTTAGGTTTAGAGTTAAAGCTAAGGATGTGTCGATAACAAAAGAACGTTAGGTCAAGGTTTAATGTTTGTGACGGAGTTAGGAGGAGTCAGTTGAGCACCTCATGCAAAAATATAAATTTGAGAAAGATAAATCAACGTTGTCAAGCTCAAATAGGCATATATATATATATATATATATATATATATATATATATATTGTGAGTAGGTCTATGTAAATATATGTATATATATATATATATATATATTATATATATATATATTATATATATATATATATATATATATATATATATATATATATAATATATATATATATATATATGTGTGTATATATTTATGTATATATAGATGTACATAGATGTATTATATATATTTGTATATATATATGTATATATAGTATTGTTTTCTGCGAGACTACAGATATCTATATATATAATTCTCTTCTGGGAGACCCTAGAAAACAAGCTGCAAACGCTCTCCCTACCATCCCCACACCTACATGGTCTTAGTGAGCTGTGTTCACTCTAAATGTTTACAAGCAGAGCCGGGTTTAGTGACGACTATTAGGGGCAGATAATTTAGTTTGAAACGATTCTAAACGTAGAGGGGGGGGGGGGGGGGACGGAGGGGTTTGAAACGGAGGGGGTTGGGACGGAAGGGGGGGTTATGGTCCTTAACGTGCTACTTATAGTGGTTTTAAAGAAATATTTTCAGTGGCAGCGTTGGTACCGTCGAATTATGAATTACTGAAAAGTAGAAAAAACAACAACTAAATAGCGGCGTATGTTATGCCGCGGGCCGGCTCGTGAGTAAATAATTTCTCCATTACGCGTATAACATTACAGCACCAGAATCTCTGGACCTCAAGGCTCTGCACATTAGTTTGCTAATCAATTGATTGGTTAAGTAATTAAGCCTGCAAGATGCTGATTCATTGTTGTTTTTGATAGTGAAACAGAGAATCGAATCAATGTCATTTTCCTTCATGTTGTTGCTGGAAGGGTTATGGCTGGGGTTATGCACTGGGATATAGCTTGTTTTGGTTGGGTTTAGGGTTTAGAATCTAATTAAGGTTCGGAGGTAAAGTATCTGAAACCCTCTCACTCCCAGGGGTATCGTCCAAAGACCACCACCCCACCAAGCGAAGACCGTCCTCACCCCTAACCGTGACACAGTCTGAGAAAAGAATGTTCTCCTATACAACTGCTCCAGCGGGCGCTCCGGTTCAAAGGGCGGCAACCCAGTGTATCCACGTTAAATACACAGTTACCGCCCATGAGACACGCAAGACAAAATGCAGGGGCGGTTACTGTGGGTAAGTTCATTTTATTTTTATTTTAATATATAGATCTACATTTGGCAGTCTGTTTAGACATATATGTGCCAGTAAACATTAGTTTATGTAATAGTGAGGTATTTTAATGATATACGATATTTCTTAAGAGATACGATTTTGTTGTTTACTTATAGCCTGTAGTCACAGTAGCACATTAACTGGGTTATTTTTTTTTTCGGGGCTCAGCTACAAACTTGATATCTACTGATGACCCCCAACTCAAAACAGTATGGGGGAACCCAATAGCTAACCCAGAGGTCACATATTTCATGTTCTCAAAAAAAAAAAAACCCAAAAAAAAAAAACAAAAAAAAAAAAAGACAGACTCTTGTATGCAGTAGTTTTACATGATTTATTTTGTCACTAGCCCACTTTGCTAGTACAGCCTACAACCCCACCCCCCTCAAAATTGAAGTTGAATTTTCCATAAATACGATATTTTTCCAAAATCTTGTCTGAACTCTGTCAACATAGAGTATTTTAATCAATGCCTATTACAATTTATTAAAACAGTTTTCTAAGGCGCGAAATAACAGCTAAAATTCTTTTTCTTATATTGCTTTTATATGATGCAAAAGTGTGACGTCGTACCATCTGAACCCCCCCCCCCCCCCCATTTCCAACTAATCACACACCGTCACTGAATTACGGACCCCCCTCCCAACTACAAGTGTGACGGTATTTATGGACTACCCCTATCACAAAAATCTAATAAATATTGTTTTAAAAAATGTGCCCATTGCATAAAAACATATAATTACAAAAGATAAATATATTTTTATATTTTAATAATCAAAGTATTGCAATAGTGAAAAATTTGTTTTAATTATCATTAAATAGCCATATTTTCATCCCGCTTACCATTTACAACTTCAAAACAATGAAGGTAATAAATTAATTGTTCATTAAAAACCGTTAATACTACAGACATATTCGACTGCAATATAAATTCCTTTAAAAAGATTCATTGTTTGATATTTAATTAAACGATAATTTATTTTGTATTTACTTTTTTATAGGTTTTGCACTTATCATTTGACTCTAGTTTAAATTGAAAACGTTTACCTTTATGAATTTTTTAATTTGTTCATAATGTAAGTCTTTGTTTACAATAATTGCTTATAAAATGTTCATAAAACTGTTCCAACAACAAGCTTCCATTTGATTATTATACATGCAATTGATGTTCATGTCTTTGATGCTGGGTAAAATCTATCAAATAAATAATTATTACTGGTTTAAATGTTTAAAACAATTGAATTAATAAAAAAAATTTAAAAAAAAGGAAAAAAAAACTAATTGAGGACTGTATAGATATAGATGTTTGAAAGGGAAGAGTGTTTGCTTTTACGTGTCTCATTGTAATAACATAGCTTTTCCGATTGCTTAAAATTTGTATCATTTTAATTCTCTGTAATCCCAAATTCATTTCAGCTCTACTTTAAAAAAAAAAAAAAAAATTCCCCCCTCCCCCCCTCGTCCCCTCAGCTCACCACGCCGAGAAAAAAAATCCCTTGAATCATCATTTAATTACACAATTGCATTTTCAGTTTCAGGTTGGTTTTTAATTTTTATTTTTTCTTTATATTTAGACGTTTTGTATTAGATCTATGTATAAGTAACCATCTTAAATGAATGAAAGCAGGCTACAAGTAAGAAAGAAATATTACTATTGTAAATCTGTATCAGTCCTCACAAGCCGATGATGAAAACTGTAATACTAAAGCGAACACACAACTGACGCTATAAATTACGTGTCTGAGGCAAAAAAAAAAAAAAAAAAAAAAAAATGTATATCATAATATATGATTATTACTGATTTAATTGTTTAAAACAATTGAATTAATAAAAAATAAAAAATATCATAATGGCTTAATTATAATGCACTAAAAGTAGAAACTAAATGACACACCATATTATAAATAGCTATAAAGAAATGCGTGGGTCACTTTATAATCTATTTGATACCTTTACTATTAGATAGGAAGTGACCAATGCTTTTCTTTATAGCTATTTAAATAGTAATGTGTCGTTTAGTTTATACTTTTTAGTGACTTATAACATAAATATGGTTTTCTGCTTGTTATTAAAACGATTTTTATGAATTTTTTTCAATACTTTACATTTTTTAAATTTAAATTAGTTGAATGATTAAAAAACTGGGGGTAATCTCCCCTAAACTTTCTCGAATTCTCTTATATGAAACAACAGGGGATGGCAACTCGGGATATAGTGCATTTTGTCGAACACAAATTTTTTTTTCCTAGATTTTCATTGATCATCGCCGCTTACATTGCATAATTTTTGTCACCTTTAGTAACTTAGTTACGACTCAATTCTAAATGCAGTTAATTTTTTGAGGGAAATTTTATACAAGTGTCAGATAATAGAACTTTTTTTTTTTTTAAAAACGGGAGTGATCTCCTCTTAACTTTCTCGAATATTCTTATATGAAACAACAGGGGATGGCAACTCGGGATATAGACATGTTATTTAATCCATTATAAATACTTAAACTTTTTAAAATAGAATAAAATCTCGTAGGAAAAACAATTGCACACCAGTTGAACGCCAAATAAGATGTGCATAATAGTTCGGAATATTATTAGTACTTTATAAATTCACATGCTTTTTTTGAGAAATCGGAAATATCGAAAATTACTACTTCCGGTCAACGGAAATTACTCAAAATTTTACAGAAGGCAGAGAATTAGCTATTTTACTAACATTTGAAATTTCATTGATCTATCTGAA